GCGTACTTACTTTCTACTTTGTGATAAGTTGGAAAGTGCTATTAGGAGTTGTAGAAAAATGTTTACTCTGTTGAATGTTTTTCTTGCATGATCCGTATGCAGCTATCAGTATAGCTTTTACAGCTTGTTCCTTGTTGTATTGGATCTGCATATGAAAAATTATTTGAATGTATTAATTCTATGGGTAACAAAGACACGTACTTTGTGGCTGGATACTTTGTTACTAGATGTAGGGGGGGGAAGGCAGTATAAAAATTGATTTCTAGCCAAATCTACCAACACCAGTTTAATAACTTTATTTAAAAAAAAAAAAAAATCCTCAAAGGTATCCACAATGTTTTGTTGTAAACTGACTTTTGGGTAGGCTCTCTGTTGTGACTGGTTAACAGTGTTATCAATGATGATTAGAAACTGTAAAATCATGCTTCAAGATTCACTGAAAGATGATTCTCTCTACAAGTAGGGCAGACATACTTCATGTCTGACAAACAGAGCAGCTGCCAGCTGTGGTCACTGTGGTATTCATACTGGATGATAAACATTGCTTCATTAAAAAATGTTGGTGCTTTCCATATTGCCAACCAAATAAATTCTTAGCAATGCATAGAAAGATCTTTAGTCTATGAAGGGTTAATTCTGTGGGAATTGAAGTAATTTTTTGCAGAGTTATGTTCTGCCATCCTCTCATAAACCAAGCATTATCTAGAAGCAGTGGGAAAAGGCTGTTTTACTACTGGCAGGCATTTATAGCACATTCACTGAAGTAGTCCTCAACTGAGTTAATGTACTGCTGTTTTCAGCTCACTATCACTTTGCATCTTGCTGTTTCAGTTCATTCTGTGTTAAGAGTATTTAGGCTGCACAGCTGTTACACAAATAGATTTATTATGGAATACAATTCCTTGTGCGGTATTCAAAAGCTGTATTAAGTCGTGAGCATATCACATTTAGACAAACGATTGCAAGAGAAAAATAATTATTTACTAAATGCCTATTAATATTTGAATTGGTACAGAATGTGTCAAGGTTTTAAGTTTATGAAGTTAGGAAATACTTGTGGTTCAAAATGCTTAGTGGGATTTTCTTGGTTGGGTTTCTTTTAACTCCATAGTCCTTGGGCTTTAAGCCTGTTAGGTAGTGATTAGGTCATTGAAGTTTTTGTTGATAAAAACACATGAAACTTACTAAATAAAATAAAATTCAAACTCATTCTAAGTTATTAAAAGATTCAAATGCCTTGTGAGTTGATCTGTGCAGATTTAGGATTTCTGTATATAACCAACTCAATTATTTTTAAATGTCCGTTGGTTTAGTTCAAATCTGGTTGGAAGACAAAACTCTGCGATATAGAGCCACCCATATGTAACCTGAAGAAAAGTTTACCATGATGCTACTTCTTTGTAAGCAAGGCATAGATTTTGCTTCTAAAATGACAGCACATAACTTTTGAAACATGTGGGTTAGGAGGTATGTGATAAAGGTGATCAAGGAGCTGATGATTCACAAGAGTCTTGTGTAGGAAGCCCTACTGCACAGGTCTGATGGGAAGTGTTGGGGTTGAGAAAACTGGCCAAAGTTGCTTTACTTCTCATGAATATTTTGTGAAAATAAAATAGGATCTGAAGAGGAAATAAATTTCATTTGGGCATTACTTTGCCTTCCCAGCTGGTATGTCTACACAGTACCTTACAGCCATGTTTACACAAACCTGTGCAAATGAAAACATTCGATGAGGATTTTGGCATTTAGTAGTGTTTTTGCATACCCCTCTCCTTCTTCCAATTAATGTCAGGTGCTGTAGTGAGTTTCCTCATGTGCCCTTAATGCTGAGCATTAATGTTTCTGAATTTCCAGCTATAATAAAAAAGATACTATTACCATCTGTGTAGTGAGCACTGACTGAGACAAGACCCTCTTGAGAGAGGGTGAAGAGGATACGATCAGACAGAGGGTGTAACATACTCAACAGCAAATCTTGTGGGGTAAACCTGCAAGACATTTCAGGGTCTGCTTGGGCTTTCGGTGTCACTGTATTTTTAAAGTTTGCATGCTCATAAACGCTGGCACTCCAGTAAGTTTGGTTTTTACAGTAACAGCTACATTTTTATGCTCTTCTGTCAATCTGTAGAGAATCTGAATAATTAAGGAAGGTATTTGATAAGCTGAAAACCACCAAAGGGTTTCTGCTTTGATGTATTTGGCTATGTGTTTGAACTTTATCGGATGCCAGAGGCTGCCCAGGCATTGATCAGACAGTATGTATGGGATCTACCTATTTCTTAAACCAGCAAGGAAGTGTCATCTTCTCAAATTTGACATTACCCACCTTTCAAGTACTTGACTCACTTACTACGTGGAGTAGTTGCTAAGTATTTTCTCTTTCTGTTGGTAAGTAAACACTACCTGTGATGTTTGCTTACAAGGCTTTAAATAGTGAGAACAACATCGTGCCTAGACTGGAGCAGCTAAAGTGTGTTGAAATGACAACAGGCAATTTGTAGTCAATACTCTTTCACTTTTCCATTGTGTTGGTAGTGAAACCATCCTGTGATACTGCCAGAGAGCACAATGCTGGGAAACATTTTCAATGTAGTATCCTCTTCTCTCATGAACAGTGCAACAGATGTGCTCTAGCAGTGCCTGGGACAGCTCACCTTCTCTCTCCCATCCTTCTGCTGTGCGAATGTGAAGGTCATGCAGCTAGCACAGTGCTCCAGTCCTGCAAAAGGGACAAGAGGGTGCGGTTCCACAGTACAAGAGAGAACCAGGAACAGGACTGGAGTGTCGGCTCAACATGTGTTTCTGTAGTGTGTGCCTGTTGATTTTTCTTCTTGTTTAAAAATGTGTACCTTTAACATTGTGACACTATTGCAGGTTTGAGAGTCCTACCTAAGTGCTTGCACTGGGAATGTGTTCGGGAGACTCTCTCCACGAAAGGCACTGTCTTGTACTTGATCCTAGGTTGCTTTCCAAACTCTTCATTGAAAAGCTTAGCCATTTGAACACGGGTTAGAGGTTAATTTGCTTCGGCTCTAATTCTTGATAAATATTTAGGCAGCGTCAGGCAGCCTTGACTTTTCTCGATCATTTCTTAGGATCAAATTTAGTATAGATTGGGCTATTCTAGTCAGCTTTTTTCCTTTAGTTTGAACCTGCCAAACTTTTTAAGTGATAACATTTAAATAACATGATTTTATGCATTCTTATCTAACAATTTCTTGCTTGCTACACAAACCATAATTTAAATCATAATTTTTCTAGCCTCTGTAATTGACTCCTGTACAAATACTTGTTTTAAAGCCTGCCTGGAATACTGCATACTTCAGTCAAAGTTGTTTATCATGTGGTATAAGATTCTCATTTTCTGGAAAGAAAATGCTGAGTCTGGTTTAATATGAACAGCGTGATTCATCCTACTTCATATAATTTTGCGTGCTAGGTATTTTATTTGCTTGGTGCCCAACAGTTGTTAGAGGCAAATTGCTTCAGCAGAAAAATGTTAACTTTTTTCCTTCCTTTGTTACAGCAAAGCTGCCATTTTTCAAGCAAACTATTGTTGACCAGACTACCTGTAGTTATCAAGATGATAATCTTGCAGAGATGTTGTTCCAAGAGCTTCAGACTTCCTCTGTGCTTACATAAGATGCACTTGTAAAATGAACAATAAGCATACTTTAGATTTTCCTCTTAGGAAATGACTTTTAGGGATTTTTGGTAGTAAGAGAGAAAATCGGAAAAAGCAAAGGAAGTCCTGTTCTAGAAGTGCAATTGCAATAGCATGGAGCTATTTATCACTGAAATGAGAATGTGTATGAAAGGCTACTTTTTCTTCTTATGAGGACTGGATGACACACGCATTGTTTAGAAAAGGGAATGCCTAGCTGGGGAAGATGACACTCATTTTCAAATAGATGGGTATCATAGTTTATTAATGCTTGCCTTTGGATAAGACTCTGAGTGGTGTTATGGGGTTTTTCTTAGTTTTCTAGTTTTCTTAGTTCTAACTGTGTCATAATTAGGGCAGGCGTATGCACTTGGTGTTTTCTGTTATGCACATATTTGGTGCCTGTCTGATTCTTGACATTGTTCAGCAGAGACTTCTATTCAAGGTGTTTTTTAAAAAGTGTTGATTGATAAACTTCTGAGCCTTACTGGAGAACTTTCACACTGAGTTTTAATATACAAACATGCCAGTTTGGTGGTGTAACCAACAAATACAGCACTGAGTAGTTTTTCTGGAATTGACAAATGTATTGCTAATGTCTTGCGACCTCAGGTAGCAACATCAGAGGGCAGCCACTCTGCACAAGGCACTATGTTCAGTATGTGCTACCCACAAGCAAATATTGCATATATGGCAGAAGAGGAGAGTCTGGTTTGCTGTCTTGACCAGTTCTATTGCTTGACTTTTGTACCTGACTGGAATGTACATGAAACGAAAGGATTTTTAAGGATTTCAGGGATGAGTGTCAAGAGCTGAACGATTCAGCCATGGTTTAAGTTTGGTGTGGGTTTTCTTGTTGTTCTAAATTGAAGTTTTTGTTCACTTTTCATGTGGTTTTGTTGGTTTTATTTTACTGCTTAGTATATTAATCACCTAAGATGATACCAGCTATGTGTTAGTTTCATGTAGGAAGGAGAAGTGTCTAAAAGTGTCTCTATCTTTGCTCATTGATAATGGAAGTGAAGCTGGACCTTTGCCCTTTTTATTTAAACATACTGATAGGGGTGGTTTTTTAATAACAACAAAAAATTGCAGTAGTTCTTTTTTAAGGATCGGTTACATCAGAAATGGAATTAGGTAAGTATGTCATCTATTACAGTAGTGCTGTTTGTGTTAAATGCAGATGTATAAAAGCCTACTTTTATTCATGCAACTTAATTTTTGTAAATTTACTATGATGCTAACAGATTTTCTGAATTGCATATATAAGGACAACTGATGCAGATATCTAGCAGATTTTAAAAAGAACCTAATTTCAAATGTCTGTCTTTTACAGGAAAAACCTCGGATAGAGGTCCATTTCCATTGTATGGTAGAGATACGGGGTTACCAGGCTGTCAAGTAAGTATAGTGATGATTGAAAGCAAATGGAATGATCTCAACTAAAATTTAGTTTAAGTTACTTGAATGTGTCAGGCTACCAAACATAATAAACAAGAATGTGTTTCACAATTTGCAGAATAAATTTTCTGGGTTCTATGTGGTCAAATTGCCTTGCACTTACATACATCCACTTAGAGGAGATACTTTTGCTATTTGCAAGTGGAACTGGTTCTGTAGCTCATGCACATGAAGTCCTATGTTTTTAGTAAAAGGGAGATTGTTACTAGTTTGAAGATATTGAGCAATGTGCTTCAGTTGTGTGTATCACATCTTTTCTGCAGATCATCGTGAAATGAGTTTTCTTACCCTTTGCAGTTATTCGTTCCTCTCTCCAAGTCTGCAAACAGAATTGCAGACCAGTACTGATTGCACATCACGATTAGTCTGTGATACTCGGATTTTTCACATATAATTTGTCAAAAAATACCAGTAATTGCTGAATATAGTTAATTAGTTAACTGTTACTCCTAGTGGAGATCATGTGCATTTTTTAAGGAAAACAGTGTTACTAGTCTTTCAATTTTTAACAATTAGGTTATCCAGTGTAATACTGTATTATTTTGTGGTTTTGATGATGTGTTTTTTAATTAAGAAAAGTTTCTTTTTATGTCTCTAAATCTTCATTTTAGAGTGAAGATTTCTTCTGTGTTATTTCTAATGAGTCACATTAAGAATACTCTGTTGATCATTGTTTAAAAGTCTGTTTTGAATGTACAGGAAGTTTGAATGTTTAAAAAAGTATAATTAGCATTTGATTACACTCAGTATTTGTTGACAAAGATTTAAATAACTAATATATTATGGTTTTGATTCTAAGAAATTAATTTGTTATGCTTGTTTTCTCAAAGAGGAATCTTTTTTAATTTTACTGTAAGTAGACTATTTGCTTTGAACTGATGTTTTCAGGAACATCTTTCTTCTGGAGGATAAAACTCAGCACGCAAGTTTGACATCTTGGTTTTGAGTCTCTTAACTAGTAGTTTGGGAAGTGTGAATGGGCAGCACGATGTGGCAATGCAGTCCTAACATCGCTTCCCCTATTAAGAAAGGATCATTCTCACAGCCTTTACTACTTCTCTGCAACACAGGTGTGACGAACAAAGACCCATTTGTAACTGTATGGGTGAGCTTTCGGTAACATTCTCACAAAAAGCAGTATACCTCTTCAAGTTATGGGCTTCACATTATTGCCAGTCTAGACAGTAAAACATTGTATTAGTGTTACTACTGTTGTTCAAATAACTCCGTATGTACTGTGTTTAAATATAATAAATTAAACTTGATGTTAGTTTGGAAACAAATTAATTTCCACGTTACTCTTTCGTTAAGTTAATGTTCTGTATTGGAAAATGGGTTTATGTTAACTTTGCATAAAATTCTGTTTTGCTTTGCGGTAATGAGTGTAATTTCTGTTGTTTGGCTTTTCACTGAGGAAAATGCTTTTATATCTTCTAATTGTTTATATCTAGTACCATTTAATATTAATTTTTATATGTAGCTATTTTAAAGCCAAAATCTTATACATATTTGTTTCTATTAACATCACTTCTAATTCTGTTTATTCTTTTGATATGCTTCCTACTATTTCCTCTTCCACAGTTTCTTCTCAAACATTTTTAGTATATGGGAAAGATGTTATTGTAGGTAGATCTGTTTTGTTTTTATATTCAGGATAATAGAAAATGATCATAGAGTTAACTTTCAACTAAATTTAAATTGAATTAAAATTTATATGATAAGTTACAGTTTGTACTTTAATTTGGTCTTATCAGTTAAATCTGACGGTGTTTGAAATAATTTGCTAACTTGGAATGTGGTGGGATTTCTGAATCTTTTCGTTTTTTTTTTATATTTTTCATAAAGCCGTGGCAGTGCCTGAAATACAGCTCTGATTGTAGCTACGATGTTGCAAGCAATCATAGAGAAGAAGGTTGAAAGCAATCCTGAGAGGTCATTTTGACAATCCAAAAGAAGAATCAGCTGCATTGTCCGTAACAGATGCTCATATAGTCAATTCTTAAAAACCTTTAGAGATGGAGGAGACTGACATGACCATGCTGGGTTTTGTTTTCCATTACTTAAATGGACTTCTAAAAAGTTTCCCTGATGCGTTATCTAAATATCATTGTAATGAAAGCATCAAACTCTTGTCTTACAGACAGTGGACTCAGAGAAGAATCTATACTCTTTTAACTCTGTAGAGGCTGTTAATCCAGTAGATGATTAAGATCATAAGGAGTCCTTAGAAAAGATAAGACGTAAATGGAGTTAATTTTTACATTGATGTGTATAGTGCGGAATATAGTGCAGTTGTATTTTTCATAGCGGATATGTAAGAGGGTCTATCTCAGACTGAAATATTGGTAGAAAAGCTTCTGCTTTGCTCTAGATGTTCTCTAGTAGGTTCACAACCCTAGGGAATTCCAGTGTTTCAAACTAGGTGAAGTACCTCATCTAAGGCCTTACAATTAAGGCAAAAAGAAATTTCCTGGGTCTTTCTGACAATACTCTTTTGCCATGTGGTATTTGCCTTTTTCATAACAAATATCTAATCTTTGATACTTGTTTGATTGGTGATGGTCTAAAATTTCCCAATACCTTCTTGTGGAATGCTGGCCAGCTTGTCATTCCTCAACCTGTATTTTTCAGTTTACAGGTTCCATCTGCAAAAATGTATTTACTTCTTAACACATTGCTTCTACCTTCTCTAAATTTGTCAGTACAATTTTGAATTCTAGACTTGCACTGCATTTGTAGATCCTTCTGGGTTATTTGCTTTGTGAATTTAGTAAATGTGGTCTTCATTTTTCATCCAAGTCTCTAATTAAGAGGTGGAATGATGCCCAAAATAAACGCTTGCAAAGTCTCAGTTAGATTCACCCAGTGTTGATCATGAACTCCCAGCTACTGTTTTTTAAACAGCTACGCTCTGTATTCAGCAGTAGTTTTAGTTATCCTTGGTTCCTTAGTTCACCTGTGAAATGTGAAAGTAGTAAAAGCCTTATTAAAACACCTCTTATGCTAGCTGAGAAGGAAGTGAGATTGATTTTACATAGTTTATTCCAGCTGAATCTATATCACTTCTTCATTATCTTCTGGCATTTGCAGTCTATTTCTTCCAGTATTCTTAAAAAAAAAAACAAAAACACAAACCCAAAACTGTTGAGGAATTACAAGCCACTGCTTTTGTTCCTCCCTCAAACAAACCAACCAACCCTATTCTTTTTTAGTCTCTGCACTCTCTCTGAACCATGAGTTTTCAAAGACAGTGGCTAAGGTTTCTGAAATTGCAAGAATGGCAAGAGCCAGTCTTCTGAGTATCTTACTGGGTACAGATTAATTAAAAATAACTAACTTCTCCAAATACTCTCCAACCTGTTCTTCTCTTACCAAAGTTCTTTCCATATGTCATTGGTGTAAATGGTATTAATAACCTGGTGTGGATGTGTGATTTCTATGGACTGTTAGCTACCTACAGGCTTTATATTTAGGCTGTAGGAGGTTAAGTGTGATGGATTTTCAATGTAGCTTAAAAATCTAAGCAACTTAGGTAAAGAAATGTGATTCAGGTATAACATTTAGTCACAAGAATGTAAATGTGGCTAATCTATGATTGTTTTACCGAACAGGAAGTGCATACTTTCAGGTTTTATTTCCATCAGGTGTTTTAAGCAAGCCAGAAAAAAGAGCTTTCTAGAGTATAGCCCTTTGCACTGGGCCCATTCATGCAAGTAACAGTGTGAATAAGGTAGTTGCATGTGTCTTAAGCTGTGTTTTTCATGTGGTTTAGTGTTAGTAAGGTTAATGGTGTATGTTTGTGTGCTACATTAAAACCTGTGCTTGTCTAGTGCTTTGCAATCAAGTTCTGAATCCTCTTCCTTTTTTGGCTTTATTTGTACTTTACTGCATACTCTTTCTCCTTCTGAGAGGTCTTCACTATATTCTGCACCTTTCCAACTCTTACTGCCTTTTTTTCCTCTCTGATGTTTCATAGCGTATATAGACTCTAAGTGGATAGGTAAGATGACAAATCGAGGCTTATGCAGAGCTGGTTTAGATGAATGTCAAAAACTTTTACCTGGACAAAGAATTAACAGCTTTTAGAAGAAATGTAAAAACTGTATTTTGCTATCAGAATGAAACGCAATGCTACATGGCTTGACACAACGTCTTCATTTGTCTCTTCGAATTGGAGGAGAGGGGTTGTTTGTGATTTTTGTGTGGGATTCCACCATTCCTGTTGGCTGTGTAATTGCAGATTTGGGTAGGGCATCTTTTCACAAATCTTAAATAGGATATAGATTAAGTTTTCAGCAGGCTTCTTGTAATAAAAAGGGTTTTCTTTACATTTGTGTAATTTAATACTGAAAACTGTAGCTTATGTAAAAGAAATGAGATTAGACTTCAGATATTGAATGCATGACTCCCATTTCCAATATCATCAAAAATGTACCCAGCTGTCACTGCACATTGCTTTGACAGGTCTGAGCTCTAAGAAAGCCAGGAATCGGCACTATTTTCAAAGTGAAATTGAGATAAATGTGCAATACATGTGTAGCTCTTAGACTAATTCTTCTAATTGTTTCTGTGGGTCTTCACGGAAGCTAACTTTATCCCCATGAGCCTGTAAGTGCCCCAGCTAATTGGTGGAGAGAGGGGGGATGCTCCTTTAGCCTAACAGTGCCTGTTCTCACGTGCCTGGCAAAGTCTGTCTCTCCCCACTGGCGTCACTAGGCTGAAGATAGTAAATTATTTGTGACTATCCCCTTAATGTTCTGTTTTAATTCTAAACAATCACGCATGCAAAATAGACATTATGGATTTTTTGACATGTGGAGATAACACATTTACCCTCCCTTCATAATAATTTCAAGTCTGCATACTATCCCACGTGTGAAAAAGGAGATAAAATCGAGTGCTAAACATAATGGATGTTAGGCAAGAACTAAAGAGGCATT